TCTATGCACTGTAGTTGTGCTAATCTGAAGGCCACATGTAGGTCTTTAGCTATTGACTCTGCAGACAGTTGGTGACTTCTGCGTACTGTGCACTTCAGCATGCGCTGACCCCGCTCTGTCATTTTCTGTGGCCTACCACATCATGGCTGAGTTGGTACTGTTCCCAGTTGCTTCCTCTTTGTTATAATACCACTAACAGTTGACCGTGGAATATTTAGTAGCAAGGAAATTTCATGGATGGACATATTGCACAGATGGCACCTATCACAGTACCACGCTTGAATTCACTGAGCTCCTGAGAGCGACCCATTCTTTCACAAATGTTTGCAGAAGCAGTCTGCATGTCTAGGTGCTTGATTTTATACACCTGTGGCCATGGAGATGATAGGTACACCTGAATCCAATGATTTGGAAGGGGTCCTAATACTTTTGGCAACATAATGTAATTTAAAGCCACTCCCATACAGATTCACTCTGCACATAGACACAAACAGCTATTTCTTCAGAATAACAAAAGGTAGGAATTCGCAACAAAGTTTGTTAAGATCCTGGCAATGTACACTGATCACCCAGAGGGGAATGTTTTTGTCTCAACAAAAGTGGAGTTGCTCTTAAACTAGAAACAGTTTATAAAACTTTATAAAAGTATCCTAAATTTCAATTCTACCCAAAGCAGTCTTCTTTTTAGAATGGGAAACTGAATGATTCCCTTCCAGGTCTTTACACTTGTCCAGCACTCTTATATTGATATATCATCTAACCTTTCAAAGTTAAAGACCAAGTTTCACTTCCAAGCTAGACTATCATTACTGTGGGCCTGAGTAATCGTTCACATATTTCTAAAGAAAATCTGGCAATAGATATAGCAATGTTGTTCACTGCCCACTAGTGGATGCCTAATGAATGAAAAGCATTTTAACCAGAATTTTCTGTGTCATTGAGGAAGTGATAATTTTTTAACCAGCAAAAAAAAAGCAAACAGATGGAATCTAATTAGTTGATCTAGGCCAGTGTTTATCAACCTTTTTTCAGTCAGGGCACCCTTTAAAAGTATTTTCATCGCAAGGCACCCCAGTCTAATGGCTTGTTCACACATGAGGTTGGAGGATGGTAAAACCATGTGGGTGAGCTATCTTTTTACTATTCCCCCTGGAGCTGCAAAGGCAATGGCCAGGGCTGTACAAATGGTGTGGCTGCAGCAAGAACTATACCCCCGGTCGCGTTTTGTGGGCATAATCAACCCCAAATATGACCCACTCGGAAATAGGGTCATGCTGCAATTGAGCCGCAACTGTATGCAGTATAATGGTGCTGCATTTAGGCAGTTAAAACAGACGGTGAGGAGGCAACATATCGCCTTTCTGAAGCCTGCCAAATGCCTCTGAAAAGTGATGCAAGCATGTATCACTTTTCAGAGGAGTGGCAGTCCTTGCCACTAGTGTGAACGAGCCCTTAAAAAAAAAAAAAAAAAAATCAGTCCTGCTATTCTGATTTTACAGGGTATGGGTCAGGAATGGCTGCAAGTTCCAATCTGTGAATTCTGGTAGGGGAGGGGGGATTGGAAGAGCCTCCCCGCTGTCAGAATTCAATAGAACAGTGGGGGAGATCGCTGCACCAACATTACAAAAACATATTTTGTAATAAAGTGCTTTAGTTGTAAACTGAACCACGAGTCACTGTCACTAACAGTAACTACTTTTTACACGGGTATCTCCTATTCTGGGATTGTTTGTATAAAGGTTTTCTTGGGTTACAGTGACTACACGTAACAGGAGCGTGTTGCTTAAGTTATTTAGGTTACTTAATTATAGTGCCTTGAGTTCTTTAGTCTTTTTTCCATTCAACCTGCTGGGTTGAACAGTTTTCCACTTTGCAACAGACCATTTTAAATCAACTCTGGCCCAGGGAAGACTTTTGGGTTTCTATTTGCATGATAGGGCTTTATCTTACATTTTGGGATGGCACTGTGAACTGTGTTCACAGACAGTGATTTTTGAAAGTACTCCTGAGCCCATGCAGCGATGTCTATCACAGAATCATGCCTGTCCCATCTGAGGGCAGCCTTGTCCCTTGCACACAGAGATTTCTACAGATTCTCAAAATCTTCTGATATTATGTACTGTAGATGATGATATATTTAAAGTCTTTGATATTTTACTCAGAGAAGCATCATGGCTCAACAAATCCCAGATGCCAGGTTGCCATTACGACTAGTAATTACATCCTAGTGCCTGGGCTTTTGTCAGCCTATTCACCAAACACTTTTTTTTCCTTCACATACCGGCACTCCGGACTGCTGTATGCGGGGTGCTGTCTCTATCTGGGAACACATGGCTCCCAGCTGTCGTATCTCCATCAGCGGGTTTCTGAGCACCGCTCTGGGTGGATGACAGAAATGTGACAAGATGGCGGACATGGGGGATGGAAGGAGAAGCCTGATTGGCTCCCATCCCCCAGAGCCCGCTCTGTGGTGATGAGAGAAGAATGAGGACCTTCCTCCACTCTCTTCGAAGGCTGTGCCCAGACACCCATTCCGTTCATGTTGTCACCCACATCAGGCATACGATCTGGGTCAGCGATTAGGGCGGGAGATCCGGGTGTGTGTGATATTGGCCAATCTTGGGGTGTCCAGGCTGTGTTGGAGAAGATCTGGCAGGAGGCAGAAGATCACGGCCAGACGACTACCATGTCCTAGGCAGAGAGATGATTGAACCATGGGCACCGAGCAAAGTCCGTAGTGGGTAGGAATTTGTGAAGAGAGAGAGAGTGTGAGTGTGTGTGTGTGTGTATGGGGGGAATGGGGTATTTGTGAGGAGTTGGGGGGGGGGGGGGGATTTGGGAAGAGGTGAGAGCTGTGGGGTGAATGTGAAAAATTGATGAGAGGGCAATCGGAATAATAAGGAGTTTCTCCCTATAGCAGGTTTTTATTGTCACTCTTTCTGGCCAACCTATAACCCTACAACCCATTACGTTAGGGTTATTGGCTGGTCGCTCTCCTGTAAGTTAGCGGGCACAAACTACTTGCCTTGCTCTGGGCGCTGACAACCCACACTACACTAAAAGAAACCTGGCTTTTTAAAGTAAATTTGCCAAGCCATGGAGAAACATCATTCTGAAATTGTTTGCCAAAATTTGAATGCAGCTTTTCACCAATTAGTGAACCTCTGCTCATCTTTACTTCTAAGATGCTGACTCTCTCCAAGATGCTCTTTTTATACCCAATCATGCTACTGACCTTTTACCAAATAATTTAAATATTTGCAAAACGTTCTTCCAGCTCTTCTACCTTAGTATCACTTACTTTTCAGGCTTTTTGTTGTCATGTCCCAACTTTTCTGAGATGTGTTGCTGCTATGAATTCCCCAACTTTTTTGTAAACACGGTTGTATATAAAGGCACAGATTATTGTGGTTCTCTGTTCATTAATGCATCATTATATTTTAAAATGCAATATGCAGAAGTACCAAAGTTTCATTTGATTTGCCAAAGTTACCAAAGTTTGATTTGCCACTTAAAACGTTTTTAGGGTGGAACATGTAACATATTCCCGGCTTCTGCAGCTCCCCCCCCCATCCCCTTTTAATGTGACAGCAGGCAGATCTTCTCCCCACATCCGCTCTCACAATTTGAAAATAGCGCGGCCGTGCGGGTCTCCGCCCACATGGCCACATCATTCACAGTTCCCTGTGAATGAGTAGCCTACAAGTACTGCCAACCATTGCGGCTGGTAGTTTGTAGTTCTCAGAGAAGTACGAGGGTGCTGGTGAGCGCTCTTGTAATCCATTGATCTTCCTGCTCCCATGTAACTGCCTGCCATTATGGGGTAGGGGCAGACAGCTATCCTGAGAGTTTGCAGGCGCCAGAGATTTCACCTGCGATCTACGGATGTTCTGCAGACCTTCAAAACAATGTGCACTTTTTTTTTTTCAAAAAGCGAACTTAGCCATTAAAATCTCCTAAAACAACAGCATTCCGGCTGAAGCATGGGGGGCAGCATTCAGAGCCAAATATGTGAACAAGCAACATGTACGCAAGGAGTTAAAGCCCTACTCTGTGATACTTTTTTGCTGCTCTTTCACTGTCCAGTCAGAAGGCTGGGGAAGGAGGAGTAAAGACACCACTGCATTCAGTCTACAGTCCAATACTTTTAAAAGAAAGTGGTGGTGTCATCTGTCTGGCTGAGCTATGTGGCAGAGACAAATACATCTCAAAAATAGATGGAGAAAAAATAAAAAAAACAGGTAATACATGCTTTTTTAATGTATTTCTGTGTGTCCCCTGATTTTCCTAGAGCTCAGCTTTAATCAACTTCAGGCAGATATGAATTTCATCTATGACACACCACATGATGCCAACCTTTTTTTCCCAATGACAGCAAGACTTATGTTTGTGTCCGTGCTGAAAATATCAAGTGTTAAACTACCTAAAACAAAAAAAAGTGTTAAAATAATACTATATAAATTGTATCAACAAAACATTCACTTTCAAAATATTGTGCAGCTCAGTTCACAAACAAAGTGTCCATAATAATTACCTCACCCCTCACATTTTAGTTCTGTATTCGTTCATTGCCATAAAATGGAATTGATTTTTGTCATTTCCCTTTAGTTTTCGTCACTGGAAACATGCCGCTGACGAAAATTATGACGAAAATATTTTGTTTTGTGAAATTAACACTGGTTTAATGTGTATCAAAATCACAATGAGAATCTGGTGATGTATGTTTGAATCCAGTTTTCCAAACATTCAAGTCTTGTGAACAATGCTGGTTTTCCAGGTAACCTCATATGCACAAGGGAAGTAATTTGTGTCTCAGCAGTATAAAACAGCCTGTGTGGATAGTCACCAAGACCTGATGCTAGAGTTAGGGGAAACATTGGGGAAATATTAGTTTAATTCACATTGAGAATGGCCAATTTCAGCCTTCACACCCACAGTGACTGCGAAATATAGAAGGCTGAAATGAATTACCAGAAAGTAAATGTGCATTTATCAACTACCTGTAGGATATCTCTGTGTCTCTGCAATGTGTGCATCAGTGCTGCATTTATCGAGGTCACACCAGCTGTACTGCTGTATTCTGCCATTTTGTCATTCACCCCGGTGAGCTGAAAATATAATGGGAAAATAAAGTCAGCATGCATTTAAAAACATGTGATGTGAAAATAAATTTAAAATGTAAACAAATGTAGTGTATACAGGTATACATTAAGACAGAACTTTTATACCAACAGCATAAAAAGGTACAGCCCAATGACAAGAAAACTCAAATTTGGCCATCCTTCTACTATACATCTCCTATACATACAGTATATGATAGTGAAGCAGTACTATTAAACAGCATTTAGTACAGTTAGGGCTTGTTGACACTATGATGCGTTGCAGGAGAGCCGCAGTCCTGTGCGGCTTCATGCACAGCATTCCGATCACAATGCAACTGCGATCTGCTGCAGGGGTCAGTTAAAAGTTAACGACACCGCAAACGCAGGTTGCAAACGCATTGCGTTTACCCACACCAAATCACATGGTAGAAAGTACAATGCAAAGCTGTCGCCGTGCGCTTCAAAAAGCAGTCCATGCACTACTTTTGGTGCGGTGCAATTTCAGCACTTTCAAATGAATAAGCTTGAAATTGCACTGCACATAGCTGCATATGAATCACACCGGAATGCACAGCGTGTTCCTGTCAGATTCAGCTCGTGACATAGTGTAAACTGCCCTTATTCATAGTAAGTGCTGAGTCTCACCCCCAGCACCCTTCCCAATTCCTATACTTACCTGCCATTACTCCTGTGCTTGAGACTGCACAGCCTCTTCTTTTCCCAACCCACCATTTGCCCAGAATTATCTACATTCATACAAATTATGTCAACCTATAACAAGTAAGCATTCTTCCCATATAAACTGAGATTTGTCTTTACCGTTTACATTTGTTACTCCCGGCTTCCAGCTATGTAAGAGAAGTGATCAGTTCTACATTGTAGAGAAAGTAACACTCCCAACAATCTTCATAAGGCAGGATATACAAGATGCAATTTTCTTTCCTGCAACCATGGGTTAACAGCCGCTAGCAATAATCGAATGTAAAATCTGACATGCTGGTTGTAATCTAGTCATACAACAACCGACTTGGGTATAATCAGCCTGCTCCTAGATGGTTTGAATCTTGGCCAGTCCTTGCTGAACCAGCCGAGATTCTAACCATCTATGGCCGACTTAAAGATGTGGACCTATACACATAAGTTATAAAGTTAATCATTCTAAAGCTGAAGGTCTTCCACTTAATACAACCCACTGACGCTTCAGTCTCTAAATACTTTTCATATACAGTACCTTGAAGAGCACTGCATTTAAAGCAGTTCTAAAGTCAAATCATTGTTTACCTTTATGCATTCTCTGCATTATAGGTTTCCACTCGTAAAACCCTCCCATCCTTCTATGTGCCAAGGAGAATACCATCTTAAGATGGCCATAGATGGGTAGAATGTCAAACAAATATTCTTAGGAAAAGAATGTTTTAACCGTTTCCATACTGGGCACTTTTACCCTCTTCCTGCCCAGGCCATTTTTCAGGTGTCAGCGCTCTCACACTTTGAATGACAATTGCGTGGTCATACAACATTGTACCCAAACTAAACTTTAATTATTTTCTTCACACAACTAGAGCTTTCTTTTGGTGGTATTTAATCAACACTGGGGTTTTTATTTTTTGCTAAATTAACAAAAAAAGAACAAAAATTAATAAAAAAAAAAACGTTTTTCTTTGTTTCTGTTCACAAACTATGGTATAGATCTGAATATTGATCAATCCTGAAGTACTAACAGTCAATCTAATTTCTTGAGGTCCAAGAATGTCAGAACAGTACAGATATCCCCCAAATGAAATCTTTCAAATGATATTCAAATATAGTAGATGGTTGAAATTTCGGCCGGTTCAGCAGGGACTGGTCATGACTCAAACCATCTATGGGCAGGCTTATCGTACCCAAGTCGATTGTTGTATAACCAGCATGTCAGATTTTGCATGCAAATATTGCTAGGGGCTATTATAGCCGCTAGCAGTAATCACTTTGTTCTTCCGGCAGCGATGGCTCCCCCTGCTGGGAGAAAATAGTTCTGTGGGAGGGATTCCCCCACCGATACTGTGTTGAAGGGTAAACGAACGATGTTCTTTCCTGCAACCTGTGGTTGCAGGAAAGAAAACCGTGTCATTTATGGCCTGCCCAGGACTTCTCAAACAAATTGTTTGAAATGCTATCCATCTATGGCCAGCTTTAACCTCTATTTAGATCTGCAGTAGCCATGGTATTGCACATGTGACTGGCTATCACACTAGCCATTGGGAGGCTTGAAAGACCAGTTAAAAGCTGACATAAGCACAATAGTGAGTTATCACCGGAGGGACGCCCTTGTTTGTAGCATAGTACATTTAGGCAGAGTGTAAATGAAAACACTGCAGAAAACATGTCTGATAAAGAATTTCAAAACATTTATTTTTAAACTGTTAAATTGGTGGGTTTAGTTTCATTTTAAATCACACAACAGACACCTATAAAGAAGCATAAATACCTTTGCCAGGAGCTGTTCAATTTCAACTGCCATTGTTTCAAACATGTGATCTTGACTTGATCCATTTAGGAGTGGTGTTGTGTCTGAACTGGATGAAAATAAAAATAAAAATAAAATTTTTCCCTTGATTCAAACAGATGTCAGTCTTTATGAAATATATCTTTGTAATATTCTTGAATCTATACTTCATACCAAAACTTCTGGTTCTTCTGGAAAGTGCTACATTAGCTGTACTGACTTTTTAGCGATTAAGTGCGAGTTCACACTGGACAGAAACGCACTCCGTGTTCCTGTGCAATTCTGTGTGATGTAATTTTCAGCTTATTCATTTGAATGGGCTGAAAACGCACTGGATTGCACCAAAGATAATGCATGCGCTATTTTTAATAATGTACTGTAACCGGGTTAAATGTACTGTGGTACCATGCAATCTCAGCACCCGGCCTCAGTACTCCACTCAGGAACCCTCAGACCTGATGCAAACAGTGGGCTGGCTCTTTTGAGAAGTTAGGATGGGGAGGAAAGATTTAGATGATTCTGGATGTTCTTCATTCAGGAAAGGAGGAAGGCTGTGCATTGCTGCAGCTTCTAATGTACACTGAGAAAAGCACAGAGCATGCAGTGAAATCAGAGTAATCAATTTCATTACAGAAGACCTTGTGCATCAATGCAAGACTGAAGGCAAGGCTAGAATGCAAGGTTCAATGTGCAAGCCATTATTGATAAACAATGGTTGAACTGGCCTTAGATATTAGCATGTGACCAGATGTACAGACATGAACTTTTTTCTTAAAAATTTGTACCCACAGGTCCCAAAAGTATGCTTTCTGTGCAGGGGAAAGGGAAAGTGACCAGATACCTCCATTACTGTCTCTTCTCAGAAGAAACAATGTGATTGCCTGTTCAGTCACTTTCCAGATTGATTGGCTGAAGTGTAGCTGTAGTCTGCTTCCAAATATCTCATATCTATAGTTTTGAGAGAGATGCTGCCACCGATAGTTCTTATAGCAGTTCTTTTAGTTCTTATAGCAACACCTCCTCCATCAAGTAGTCTGTCTCAGCAGGGCTAATAGAACAGGGCTATGATTTCAAAATTGTAAGTCACTGAACTGATCTCATAAAGAACATGTCTGTGAAAACGTTCTACTCTGCCATAACACATCCTGTTTCTAATGCATTTGGTTAAATTTTATTTTTACATTTTTAGCGCAAGTTTTAGGGTAAGTTTCATTTATTTAAAATCTTATTATTGCAAATAAAAATCTAATACAGGGTGCCCTTGGACACTGGTGGGTTTTTTAACAAGCAGATTTCTTTCTAAATGTCTGCACAGCCCGATGAACAGAACAAGTATTGGGGGGGGGGGGAGCAAGGAGGAGAAAAAGTCACTCCCTTTGACCATTTAAATGTGTAAATTTAAGCCTGAGCTGTTGAGTTTCCTAAACAGCTAAGCATGCAGGAATTAATAGGTTAACATGTAAAAAGGTAACTAGAGTTCCATCTTATGTTCTGAAAAAAAAAAAAATTTAGACAAATGGATTAATAAATCCATCTTATTGGAAGCAATATCACGCTATTGAGCTTCTCACTACCCACAGAGCCACACACTAGGAGACCAGAGCCATAGCTGAGCAGGCAGAGGACAACAGATAACCTGACCCTATCCTGGAGCGAGTTCCTGAGCTAACCTTACATGCGCATACTGATTGTGCATTCAGTGAGTGTGCAATCTTTTATCAGTTTTGGATACTATCACCCTCAGATTATACTGCTGGAATCCCTTTGATTTTCCAATCACCTAACCCACTGGGATATTGTGGACTATTTTTCACTTATCACTTGGTCGGTCACATCACAGTGACACTAATGATATTTACATATGTGGATTATATGTTAATTTTTTTGGCACTTTATATGCACTTATATATGTGTTTTGCATGATAATTGTATACACTAAGTCACGTTAATATACATTTGCTGAAGCACTTTATCATATTCTGATCTCCCCACTGTATATGCTCGAGCCACGCTGCATAATATGAATGGTCCTGCAGCATTCTGGGAACTGTGATGTGTCTCAGAATGTTGTGGGCAGGGAGGGAGGGGAGGAACTTGTGGTATATTCATCTTGGCTGAAGTGGGGAGCGGGTACCTGTGAAACCTACATACCGGCTACCCCCCCATCAAAACAAAATTACATTTTTCACTGAAGTTTCATTTTAAGGAATACCTTCATAAAATGACCATGATGTCAGGAAAGTATCTGCCCTTCTAGCAACTTTCTAGTTATTCTAGTGCCACAGCCTACTATGATCCTTGCCCAAGCTAACAGCACTGAACACATACCATTTTTAGATGCTTGCATCAACTTCACAGTACAGGAAAGGATTGGACTTATTCAAAGGGGAGATGTTCAACAGGACAGAAAATATCCCGGTTTAATAAGACAAGCCTTTGACTGCCAAAGGTGCTTGGATTTCTGCAGATCGATTTTTTTTTTTTTGCAATTACATTATTTAATGAGACAAAACATGGAAAAAAGTGCATGTATTGCAGCGACATAGTGCACACTTTTTAAATTTTATTTTGTCAAGGCATACACTTAAAGTGTTACTAAATCCACAACAGGAAAATCAGTCTGTATATGCAGTAAAGCATACTTGTTATACTCAATGAGGAACCTAAGGGGTTAATCCTCCCGATTGTGTAAAAAGGATGTTTGATCCTGTCCACACTGATCCTCCCTTCTTTTACTGTCCCCAATCCAGCTGCTGATAGAACAGAGCCTTGGGGTCAAGCTGCACATGCTCAGTTTGGTGTGTATTGCTAGAAGTTTTTTTTTTTTTTCTTGGGAGAGTGCATGTGATCAGCACAGGGCCAATCAGAAATGTCCATGCAGAGGTCAGGAGTTCTGCATCCTCCTAAAGCAAAATGAAAACTTACAACCTGTAACCAGTGCTCTGCTGGACACTGATAGAAGCTACAAGACTGCTCTAACTGCTGATGAGGAAAGGTATTTAGCAGTTTATATTTACTAAAATAATTGCATTTCCATGTTCTGTTTACTGTAGAAGACTGGAAATAGTAAATGCAGGGTCCCGGGTTTAGTAACACTTTAAAAGAGGGCTTTTTTATCTATGGCATTGGGGAGGCTTTTACATTAGGTTGATGATCAAGCTTTCTAAAGCGAATACAAGTTTTTAACAAAACTGGTGTGGCTAGATACATTTTTGGTGTCATAAAGCAAGTGGAAACTAACCCAGCAAATTATATAGAGATTTATTGCATCATACAATATGACCTTAGCTCTAATAGCTCATTTTGTGATTAGGTATGATATTGCATACATTTATAGTGATGCATTTTTAAAGACTGTCATTATCCATAAAAACAGCGTGCTAAAACTGATACAACACACACACACAAAAAAAAAAAAAAAAATCACGTCAAACACACCCTTTTCTTAAAATGATTCTTACCATAAATCCAAGGCAGATTTAAAAATGATTAGGGAAAGGGATATATATATATATATATATATATATATTATTACAAATTAGATATAAGATTAGTGATTCTAATATCAAAAGGTGAAGCTCATGTCTGTTTAATTTATTAGTAGCACAGAAAGTGAATTATTAAAGATCTTCTGTGTAATATCTGTTAATATAAATTTCCTGGTGGTGTTAATGTGTAAAATGTTAGGTGTACCAGGTCAAACTACTATGCACAGGATGTCTTCTAAATCTTCTTCTATCATCTCCATACAAAGATGTTATGCAGAACAAGGATCTATTAGGAACTTTTTCATTGTCAAAAGGTAATTTGCTGAACTGATTTCTATAACTAAGAAAGTTTATTATTGTTCAGCGTTTTTTTTTTACAATTTATTCACTGAAATTATCCCACAAACATTACAAATGTATGGTATGGAGATAGCATATTAAATTTCAAAATTGCTCTGGGGCATATTTATGCTGATTTCTGTGTAGAACAATTAGTAAATGACTGAACTGTCAATAGCATCAGTTACTTTTTATGCATTTTCTTTAACTTTTAAAGAGGAACTTAAAGCGGAGTTCTGGCCCCCACCCACAAAAAAAAATAAATTAAAAGTCAGCAGCTACAAATACTGTAGCTGATGACTTTTAGGGACAGTTCACACTATGCCCTGATATGAATTGCAAAGGAATGCACTGTGCGTTCCTGTGTGATTAATATGCGGGTCTATGCAGTGCGATTTCATGCCTTTTTTTAAACACTACTTTTTTAAATGCATTTTGTACCACGCTGTTTGGTGCAGGCAAACACAATGCGTTTGCGACCCACGTTTTGGGGTGTCATTAACGTTACATGACCCCCGCAGAAGATCGCAAGGGCACTGCATTCGGAATGAAGTGCAGAAGCCACACAGGTATGTGGCTCTCCTGCACTGCATTCCAGTGTGAACAAGCACTGATTAGAGCACTTACCTGCCCAGGCATCCAGAGGTGTCCTCACCCCAAGCCAATCGGCTGTCGGGTGCTTGACTAAGGGAAACCTGCAGTCACAGCCATCTTCCTAATGCGCATGTGCAAAGCGCGCTGTGCTTTTTGAACGGGCCACAATCCTCTAGGGCCTGTTGAGTTTCCCAGAATGCTGATGGGGGGGGTCAACAGAGCTGGGAGGAGAACAGAGCCAGAAGTAAGAGTGGGTACCAGTCAAAACCAGGTACCCACTACTCCCCCCGTTACTCCAAAAGTTGCCAAATGTGGCAGGGGAGAGGGGGAGGCAGATAAGCGGAGCTTCCACTTTTGGGTGGAGCTCCGCTTTAACTCTGAAAGCTGTGCCAAAAAAAGCAGGTAAAGGGCAAAGGACTTGTCATCAGAATTGCCTGTGGTAAGCAGCACAGTAGGGACATCAACAAATCACACTTCAAACCTCATGAGACAGTTGGCTCCCTTTCACATTTATGTGTTTTTGCTGTGCTTTTACCTTGCTAAATGCGCAAGAAAAACACAATATTTCCATTTAAATCCTAAGGAACTCTTCACACCAGTGCGCTGCTGTTGTGGTGCGTTTTGAAAAGTCCTGCATGCTGCATTTTTAGTGCACTTTTTGAAAGCGCACCAAGAAAAGCATTTCTCCAATTAAATGAATGGAAAACGGTTTTGTGTTTTCGGTGCGTGTTTTAAGTGACATGTCCATGGTTCACTGGAGCATGCTGGCAGTCAGGCAACCAGAAAATGCTTCAAAAATGTGTATTTACAGCATTTTATTCAAGAGAGCAGTGTGAAAGGACCCTTAAGTGACACCAGTGCCTAAATCTCACATTAGGCTGTTAGTACAGGAGTGCCTAGGCACACTCACATACCAGAAAGTGGTATATAAGGGTGCTTTTTTTCAGGAGGAATTCCAGACCAAACTCAAAGTTCATGCACAGATTATAGTTGTTTATTGGAAACCTGTATTTATAGGATTATGTAGGCTGCTACTGTTGGCCTGCCCTGAATAAATTCAATTGTCACCTGCCCCAATGCATTGAGACACTTACTGCGAACAAGCATTCAGTAAGCAAAGCTAGAAATACTGACTAATATGCTTGCTCTGGAAAAAAAAAAAATTCTAAAAAATGTCTTGCACAAAAAAAAACGTAATACCGATTTCTTTGGTGGGCAGGGGAGTCGAAGTCCTGCAGTGAAGTAGCAGCTGGCAAGCAAAACAACAGATCAATGTGGAAGACCAGCTGTACACCACTGGATGTGCTGGGTGCTGAAGATTTTTCAGCTGCTGTTGTTCTTGGAGACAGCAAAGTTAAGACTTGCTACATGCAGGATAGATACGTAATCTCTCCTGCAAAGGCCTTTTTTTCCTACAAATTGTTGCTTTAAATCTAACATATCAGCATTAAGGCAAGGAAACTAGATTTTCAGAAAGAAATGTCAAAATTGCATAGTAAACCAATATAAGAAAATGGCAGCTACAGGTGGGCCAACCTTGGAATTGATGCAGAGGCGCACAAATTTGATCATCAGAGTCCCTAACAGGAAAAAGAGGCTAGCAAGAGAATCATTTATATACTTTACAATTAATAATGAGCTTTATATTGAAGAACACCAAAAACTTTGATATGCTAAGTGCATTGAGCTGAAAAAAAATACAGGTTCTATGTAGTTTGACATTGGTCTGTAAAAAAAAAAAAAAATCCCAGAAATGACAATAAAAGAAAATAAAGTGGCTAGTACCTATACCTGTCGCGTCTTCCCTCTCTGGAGTTGCTGTGGCTGTAGCTTGTGCAAAGTTTGCTAAAAGAAACTAATTTTAGGTCGAGCTCATTCTCCAGTTGCCTGGCCTGTTTCCTCAGATCTGTTGAGAACAATAATAACCATAAATTACATATCCACAGACTAAACAGTTTTTGTGACTGCAGCACAGTAACATTAAAGTGATATTAAACCCAAAAACATATTATATTGCAGCTTATTAATTCTTAGATGTGGTATCTTAACTTTAAAAAAAACAAACAAACACACGCAGCAGGATTTTTAATGCAGACCAGACACGATTTTGTCATTAAAGTACATTACACTTATATAGAATATCCCAGGCTGTCAAATTTCCGTCCACTCGGCTATGTCTCCAGATTATCAACAAATGCACCCACCCAAGTACATGAGGGAACACCACAGCTGGTGACCTCTATTCTTTTGTTGTCTTGTGGCAAAAACTGTTGTAACTGTAGAAAACAGGTTCCACAGGAAGTTGCAAGCAGTGATGTCAAATCTTTCTATGCAGTGAGGCACAGGCAAATGAACTGCTAGAATGTCTGAACAGAATCGCAAATGCTTCAAAATGTATTCCTACCAAATGTGTATTTAGCGTAAACTCTGACTACAATGAAGGGTTAAAGCAGAACCGCAGCAGAAATAAAGAGTGCACACAGTGGGATATGGTAGGCAATACCTGAACCAGGTGGCCATTGGCCATTGCGGGGATCACCAAGGCATATCTGCACACAAAAGTGCTCTTTCCGTAGCTAAGAAATTGCAGTTTCCAAGCACCTGGCCCAGGAGTCTGAGTACATGTCACTAAAGTTGCTAGTGGTAGTTTGTTATATTGAACAGGACTTATTCTGTAATACTTCAACATTAGAGAAGAACAGTTGCATCTGACTACTGCTAGCTAAAACATGATAAATTAGAACCTTCACAGACATATCTCATCAAATGGGAAACCAGTCAAGAGCCTATTACATTTTGTCTTTCATGTCTGCTGAGGCCAGAATACAATGGGAGGCATTTCCCAGTCATTCAGCACCAACAGTGAGAGAAAGGCTTTGTATCTCAGGAACAGAACACAGCATTCATGCATGGAAAAGGAAAAAAAGAACACATAGTTGTTTTCTATGGCAAACAATACATTTCATAAACAACATCATGCTTCAAACTTAACACAGGTCAGGTAACAAGCTCATTTGATCCCAGGTATAAAATATTCATAACAAAGAAACTACTACTGACTAGGCATGTGTCAAACACAAGGCCAGTGGGCCAAATGTGGCCCTCCAGCTAATTTTATGTGGCCTTTGCACCTCTCTCCTACAGCTGCAGCACCCCACCATTGTCTCTGCCCCCACCTCATCTCAGCAGCTGGTAGCAGAGAGGAGGACAAAACTCCTCCCACAGATCCACAGCACTCCCTGTTCTCTTCCTCTCCTGGTCTCAGCATCTGGCAGACTCTGGCAGCTGACCCCCGCCCTCCTCGGGTCCTCCTCAAGACCCTGCACTTTTTGTTTCCCAGCAGCAGCATAGGTTAAGGAGAGTGCCCTGTGATGTAAGGGAGGGTGGGGGACTCTTGACATCTGATATAATAGGGGGGTGAGGGGTGGATATCTAGTCTTACAACCGGCCCAATGAGGGTAACCATAATGCTGATGCGGCCCATGATGAAATTGAGTTTAGAACCCTTGCTCTAAAGCATCGAACCAGTGATCAGCAGATCGCTGGTGCCATGCAGGTCTCCATCAACCTGTCAGTATAACCACTTGCCCTCCAGAGGATTTACCTCCTTTCCTGATCAGGCCATTTTTTGCGATACAGCACTGCGATACTTTAACTGACAATTGCGAGGTCATGGAATGCTGTACATAAATTAAATTTATGTCCTTTTTTTCCACCAATGGAGCTTTCTTTCGGTGGTATTTGATCACCTTTGCGGTTTTTATTTTCTGCGCTATAAACAAGAAGAGACCAACAATTGTGAATAAAAAAATAACTATTTTTGACTTTTGCTATAAAACATATCCAATAAAAAATGTTTTTGGAAAAAATTTGATTTCTTCATAAATTTAGGCCAAAATGTATTCTGCTACATGTCTTTGTGGTGCGCAATCCCTACCCGAAAATGCAAATCAAGTATACATACGTGATTTTGCGCAGCCCTGCCGCCCCGTAGCAGTACTTCTGCTATAGGGTGGTGGGCAAGCGGTTAATCTGTGTGCTCGTACCTCGTAGGAGCAGACAGTTTAACACTGACAGGAAGACTGAATGAACTACCACAGCACTCAAGAGGGCTGCGATAGTTCATGAGAACTACAGACATGTGAAAAGGATGTTGGTGAGGACATCGGCAAAGGATGTTGGTACTTGTAGTTCATTCATTCATAGAACTTTGTGAATGAATGACGCGGCCGTGTGGGAAGAGCTGTCACAGGGAGGGAGGGATGGGCAGCAGTTACACGTTCCACCCTAAAACAGGTAGAACATGTAAAATGTTCCCAAAGGTGAACTTATCCTTTACAGTGGTTGTAAAGGCTCAAATTTTTTTTTTTAACCTTCATGTATTCTGTGCACAAATGTGAAAAAAAACTGTGCGCAGCAGCCCCCCCAATACTTACTTGAGCCCCATCGTGATCCAGCGATGTGCACGAGAGCCAGCCTCAGCTTTCTGGGGACTCTCCCTACTCTTTGGCCGAGCCAGGGACCAATGAGGAGAGAGAAGGGGAAGGGCCGAGCCGCAGCTGTGTGTGTGAATGGAGACACAGGGCAGTGGCTCAGGAGCGAGCCTGCTTGGGTGCCCCCAGAACAATTTGCTTGCTATGGGGGCACTCGGAAGGAGGGAGGGGCTAGGAGCGCCCGCAGGGGACCTGAGAAGAGGATGGTTGGGGCTGCTCTGTGCACAACCACTGCACAGAGCAGTTAAATATGACACATTTGTTATTTAAAAACAAAAAAAAACAAAAACTTGCCTTATAAGGATGAACTAAACTCTGAAAGCTGTATTGCCAGTCATCTCCCTACAGTTGATCTTTACCGCGTTACCTTCTAACCATGACTTTTTCTGCACTGTATCTCTGCCTGGAGTGAGCCGCCTAGATAGGGCAGATCTTTCCTTCCATATGTCGGAGCCTCCAGCAAAGGAAACAGGGAGCAGCACAATAGTGACTTCACCAAACCTCATGACACTAGCAATAAGAGACAGCAGTGCCCTAGATCCCACACTGCAGATATACAGCTATGAGGCTATAAAGTGTCTAGGCACATTCACATACCAGGAAGTGCACTGCTATTTTCAGGAGGATTTCCAAACAAAAGGTAAAATATCAGAGTACTGCTTAGTCACAATTAAAGATTCAGGAAGCCTTCCAAAAATACAATAAGTGGATATCATGGTGCACTTTTTATTTTTGGATCCTGCCAGTAACATTGATTTGCGGATTCATCTAAGCTCTACAGTGTACACATGCTCCAGATGTCTACTGCTTACTCTCCTCACTAAAGTGGCTGGGCACCACCTCTGCCTTGCTGTGATTTGTCACATCAAACACTCATACCCACCTTGTCAGGCAGTGCCGCTGGTGACATAGGCAGCAGAGAGTCTAACAGGTACAGATAAGGGTGTTTGACAGTGGCTTCTCCTGTCACACAGTCCATCCCTCACCACTACATAGTTACATAGTTAGTCTGGCTAAAAAAAGACAAATGTCCATCCAGTTCAACCATTAAAAAAAAAAAAAAGTTATAATCCTATACCCACAGTTGATCCAGAAGAAGGCAAAAAAAAACAACAGCAAAGCATGATCCAATTTGCTCCTGCAGGGAAAAAAAATTCCTTCCTGATCCCGAGAGGCAATCAGATATTCCCTGGATCAACTTTATCTATAAATGTTAGTATCCAGTTATATTCTGTGTATCCAAGAAATAATCCAGGCCTTTTTTGAAGCAATCCACTGAGCTGGCCAGAACCAACTCTTGAGGGAGTTTATTCCACATTTTCACAGCTCTCACTGTGAAGAAACCTTTCTGTGTTTGAAGATTACATTTCTTTTCCTCCAGATGTAAAGAGTGCCCCCTTGTGCTCTGTGATGACCTCAGGGTGAATAACTCTACACCGAGTTCACTATATGAACCACTGATGTATTTATACATGTTGATCATATGCCCCCTTAATCTCCTCTTCTCAAGAGATAATAAATTCAGTTCCTCTAATCTTTCCTCATAGCTGATCTCCTCCATGCCTCGTATCAGTTTGGTTGCCCTTCTCTGTACTTTCTCCAGTTCCCCAATGTTCTCTTTGTGTGAATTGGTAGCCTAAACTGAACTGCGAATTTCAGATGAGGTCTTACTAATGATTTGTACAGGGGTAATATGATATCTCTCTCTCTGGAGTCTATACCTCTTTTAATACAAGAGAGGATTTTGCTCCCTTTAGAAACTGCAGCTTAGCATTGCATGCCATTATTAAGCTTGTGATCTACCAGAACTCCCAGATCCTTCTCCACCATTGATTCCCCCAGTTGTACCCCCCCTAGTATGTATGATGCATGCATATTCTTAGCCCCCCAAGTGCATCACCTTACATTTATCAACATTAAACTTCATTTGCCACATAGTTGCCCAATTAAACTGCATTGAGGTCGGCTAGTAAATTGGAGACATCCTGTGAGGACGTTATTCCACTGCACAGCTTTGTGTCATCTGCAAAGACTGAAATGGCATTGTTAATCCCAGAGCCTATATCGTTTATAAATATATTAAAAAGTAAGGGTCCCAACACTGAACCTTGGGGTACACCACTGACAACCCTAGACCATTCAGAGTATGAATCATTAACCACTACTCTCTGAATACGATCTTTTAGCCAGTTTTCTATCCATTTACATACGGATTTTTCCAAGCCGATAGACTTTACCTTACACATTAGCCGTGTGTGGGGAACTGTGTCAAACACTTTTGCAAAATCCAAATATACCATGTCCATCGCCACCCCTCTGTACAAGTTTTTGCTCACCTCCTCATAAAAAGAAATCAGATTTGTTTGACAACTTGTCTTTCATAAATCCAAGCTGTCCGTTGCTTAAAATATTT